TGTGAGTGGTGGGGTTGAAGAGGGAAAAAAAGGCCTATTTTTTGTGCTTGTGAGCTTACACAACTCTACACCATGTAGTGTTTGTGTACACCTACACAGAATGATCTAATCCTAAGAGGAAGCTCAGCTGGCTTACACAACGGGAGTGTTTACACTGATGGAGATCAACTGATGGTACCGGGAAGCACTGAAGAATTTGACAACTACAAAAACTGTGGTCAAGGTAAAATAACATGGCATGTGTGCGTGTCTGTGCGTGAACCCCATGTTACAGAGAGATTGAACTATTCCAGCTGGAAAAGGCCAGTGGTCAAATTACAGTGACATGACTGTTCACGTCGCCGCTCAGTGATCCAAGCCCTGGGCAGTAAACTTATTCTGTGTGGACAAACGAGAAATTGTATTGGGATAGTGCAAGCTACGTGCTAGATTCCAAGCTGTGTCATTGTTTACCTCAGTGGAATCCAAATGCTGCTGGAATATAGTGTTGGCTCGCTAGCCCCGTTATCACCTTGTACAAATAGTCTTTTAAACCTTGTGCTCTGCATAGCCGGCTCTCCATTGCTTCACCAAGGACAGAGCGCCAGACAGCCTCTGCTCCTTGACCATTCAGGCACAGTAACGTCAGGTATGGTCCCGTTTTCTCTTCTGCAACATGCTTTGTTTTGGTTTTTTTGAGAGTTACCTATAGTTGATTAATACTACCACTAATAACACTAACAATAATAATGATAACACAAATAATAACTATAAGAATATTAAAGAATAATACCTACTAGATGTATATATAGTAATAAACTTTAATAATGGATGTAGTAATGTAAATGTCCTGTACATATGGTCTTAAATATTTATATATTTTGTAACTAAAGAACCATTATTTGTATAACATGATGTAGAGATAGGGAGGCTTGCATGTTAATTTGTTGTTGTTGTCTCATACTGAAAATAAAGTGTATGTCAATGAACAACCAGGAATATTTTTTTTTGGTTAAAGTGGTTTTGAGTTCGGAGGATGTTTCACTAAGCCATTCTACCATTCCTAAAGAAAAAGTAACTTTCCTTGCAAGGAAAGCTCTGCTGAATAAACGTTCCATCAAGTGTCTTCCACAGCAGTGTTACTGTCAGTCAGATAATAACCACCACAAGCCTTTCCACAGCAGGTCAAGTGTCCTGACCCGACAGTCCGGGAGGAGTCTGAAAATGAGAAGTTCACTGTCTTATTTCTCGCACATCCAACAGGTTAACTACGAGAACCGAGCATTCATTTACCTTCTAATATATTCCAGACCTTCAAATGCGCCGTTATAACCAGGTAATGACTTGAGCTGAGTGGTTATAATGTTTTGGTTCAGTCTACAGTACTGTGCAGTTTGGGGCCTCCTTTCATTTCTCTATATTTTGCTTTCAAGGAGCCAGAATTTCTTTTCATTTTTGAAATGGTATTGAGCAAGAGTTCTCCAAGCTTTCTTAAGGTCTTTCATATTTTTTTTAAATATTGGCTACTTTATCTTCAGTCCAGTTCTTGTACTTGACCATTTTTAAAGGAATTTCTTTCATTTATTTGTTTGTTATGCCACTGATCCATGACTCATTCATGACTCAAGCACAAAAGTTTGACTTTCAGGCATCTTAGAACTGTACAAAGTCTAAAAAACCAAAAAAAAACCCAAAAACAGGGTGACTCAAGACTTTATATAGAGCTCGACATTTTACAGTTAATCCTGTTACACTAGCGCCTGGAAAAAAGTTAAAATGTATCTCTTGCATTATTGTGCTGCAGTTTCTTGTCACTGGTCACATTTAAATGAATATCAATACTTCAGTGATAATCCAGCCTGAGCTGTGTCAGTGTTCGAGTCACAGAGTAAATCAGAAATACTTTGACACTGGCCACTTCAGCAATATAACAAGGACCAGTTAATAAACAAAAAAAATAAATTTCTAACATAAAAAGGTCTGAAATTTGGCCTATTAACTACATTCGTTTTTTTACAATAGACCTATAAGATTTAGTATATGAATTTTAGTAGCTACAACTATAATTGAGTTGGAAATGGTTTGAATACTTTGATTACATCAAATATACAGTCACGATAAAAAGAAAATACATCTTCCTTTAACTCTTAATGTTTTACATAGGTAAATACAACCATATTATGCTGAAACATTGTTTAACAAAACCAAAGTAGTGAAGAAGTATTCTGTAAAATATAAATTATACCCTCGCTGCTTCCAGTTTAAGCAGGAGCCAGTGCTGCTCATCAGATGCAGCTGATTAGCTGATCATCAGCCAGTGTGCTAATCAGTGTGAGCGCTTCTATAAAAGCAGATATTTTGGCAGTTTGCAAGTCTGGAGCATTCAGGTGTGTACACATGGAGAAGGAGTTTTAAAAGTGGAAACATTCAAGTGAGTTGCCAGTCTTCCCGCAAGTGAATCTCCCAACAAATTCACCCAAAGATCAGAAAGATGACAACAAACCCAAGACCTACATCTCAGACCTCAGGTAGCTTGTTAAATATTAAAGTTCATGACAGTACAATTTAAAAAAAAAAAAAAAAAGTCTGAAGCTTGGCTCATTCAGAAAGGTTGCCAGTAGAAATAGACTTCTTTAAAAATAAAAAAGGAGAGGCAACAGTTTAGCTCAGAAGCAGGTGACCATATGAGTGCAGCAATGACTGAATGCTTGCTACATGTCTTCCCCCCACACTCTCTCTCGTCACTGTGCTATTTAATAAAGGTCAAAAAGTAATTTAAAGAAATCTAAGCTCTAGATTTGTAAAGTTGCATGTGAACAAACCACAAGACCTGTGGAACAAATGACCAAGACCAAAGTGAAGATGGTTAGCCAAAATGCACAGCACCATACTTGGTGAAAGTCAAATGCAGCGTATCACCTTCGAGGCACAGAGATGGAGGGGTGATGATTTGAGCTTGTTTTGCAGCCACGTGATGTGGGAACCTTGCAGTCACTGAGTCCACCATGAACTCATTCAATAGCAAAGTACTCTAGAGTCAAATGTGAGACCATCGGTCTGACAGCAAAAGATTGCTCCAACTTCGGTGATGCAATAAGACAATGATCTAACCTGATTGAAATACTCTGGTGGGACATTAAGAGAGCTGCATATAAAAAACAGCCCTCGAAACTCAATCAACTGAAGCGACCCTATAACGAAGAGTGGGACAAAAAGTGTTCATGACAACATAAGAGACTGAACAAAGTCACAGAGAACAAGATTCAGATTATTGTTAATAAAGTTGGTTGTACACACTACTGAATTACATGGTACACACAGGTTTTCACTCACCGCTTCTGGATTCTGTGTTAATTTTTGTTAAATAAATAATAACATGGTTTATTATGTCATGTGTTATTTTTCTGAGGTTAAATTTAAATAATTTTAGAAACTGGTAAAAACTAGGTGGTGCTTTTTATTATTATTATGTCCTGATATGTAAAACCTTAGAACTGAATGAGGGTCTATTTTCTTTTTCACACATCCATAGCTTGAACCTCTTCACACAATTTAGTACACTAAACAATGATCGGCAGAGGGGCCGTGTTTCAGGCTGTAAGACGAGCAACACTGGTCTATATCAAATATCACAGAATCTACAGGTGTTGAAACCATAAACAATAGTGTGTGTCCAAGTCACCTACTGACCTATTAATGTATTTCCTGCTGTGACCTGAAGTGATCTATATAGCCATGAACACATCACTGAGCATATTTTTGGACCACATAATGTTTAAAATGCTGTAAACAAATTTATTGCAAGCAAAAATAAATTATGTCAAAATATATTTCAGTCTATATGAGACCTTTTAAAGCAATACAACCAGTGCATCGTCATCATCACCAGCACATTTTCAAAATAACAAGCATAATTAAAACGTTTTCACCAGTGTTCAGAATTACACTGTAGACAGAGGGGACTATTATCCAAGCAGCAGACAGCAATGCACAAGATTATTACAAATAAGAAAACAAAAGCAGCAATAAATCAAATCAAGTTCTCAGCACTTTAAAAGACTAAGAACACAGGCAGCATGGCGTGTCTGATCAGTGTGACAGCTCCCTGGAGTCGTAGTCCTCGATAAATTTCTCCATTGCTTCTACGCAGCGTTTGCCGATGTCCCGGAGGTTCTGCTGTAAAGAGGACTGGATGGGACGCTCCAGAGATGGATCCTTTTTAATCAGCATCTTTACTACAAAGCCAAACATTTCACACTCCTGATAGTACACCTGAAAGACAAATGCAATCATGGTTTTAGGACAAAGAGGGGGACAAAGTGGGATTGTTGGAGGAAAGGAAGAGTGCATTTTCAATTACACTGAATGGATTATTCCACCGAAATGCTCGCACGCTGACTGCTCACAAATTATATGTGCGCACACGTGTGCGTACGGATTTCTGTGGACATTTTTGCATCAGCTACCTGTTGCCAGACTGTTTTTTTCTTGCAGTGCCTCTATAATCCTGCAACCATGGAGATATGAAAAGCAAGAGGCCATCTTTTCCGTCAAGTGGGTGGAAGCACACGTACACTCTCTCATACAAACACAGATAAGCAGAACCTCAAGTGACGTCTGTCACATTGAAGGCGGCATTAAAGCACGTTGCCTGTGATACAGGTGAGCCGGCCTCACTTTACATTGAGGATCAATTAGAGAAATAAAAATAAGAATAACGAGAAAGAATAACACCATCTCTCATGTAAAATAGTGAATAAAACCTTCTTTGTCAGGCCTGGCAAAGAGAAGCCAGTAATGAGACTCATGTTGCCTCTGGCTCTGCATTTCAAATCTAATGTTTATACTACAACAAACAAATCTTTTTTCCTTGTCTCACGTCTCCTGGCGCTTTCCTCAGATCTTCCCTCCGTCACTCTCGCTCTAATCCCGGCTTTTCTTATCTTTACTTTTCTGTTTATAGCTACCCCTTCTCCCAACACGTGTATGTGCGTGTGAATGTGCATGTGTGTGTGAGTGTAAGGGCACCCCATCCACCTCATCTATCTCTTTCCTCTTCTGTTGGATGGCTCTGTCTCGTGCCGCCGTCTGGCTCACAGTTGAAGGGAGCTCCCTCTCTCCGCTTCGTTCTTTGCTTTTTGTCCCCTTGTGATCTCTCTCCCTGCTTTGATTCCTGTTGCTCTGGCGAATCAGAAATTTAAAAAAAAAAGGGAGAAAGAAAGAAAGCAAAGGGAAGAAAAACAAGAAAATTAGAGGCAGCAGTTGGGCTGTAGTATTCAGATAGTTAGCCAATGACATGGAAGCAAACACTGATGATGAACGAGCTGCTTATGACCGGTAGATAATAAAGCGTAGCGCCACATGTTAACCTTTAACACAGAGGCAAGCAAATTCTTCATTTGTCAACTCTTCTGACTGAGTTCAGGGGCAGAAATACACAACAAAGAAGTGCAGTTCAGTAATGGCCACACTTGTACTCACAATTAAACAACCCGCAGAAAAAGACGCAGTGAAGAGCAAAACTTCAAGTGACTGTTGGGTAACTTTTTAAATGTTGCTTTAAAAGGTCTCTCTGGTGATGCCCAGCTCTTCTTCCCCACCCAACCCAAAAAAAATAAATAAAAGACAATATAATGATAGAAACTCAATCATAACAAGTGTATATGGCTTTTTACTTAATTAGCTGTTAACGTGAATTTAAAAAAAGAATCTACAAAGAAACTTGCACTAGAGAGAGAACAACAGCCTCTAACCGGAAGTCTTACAAAGTGGTGACCCCAAACTACAGGTCTATAAACACCAACATTTCCACCTCTTCCCTTTTCACTTCAACTTCACTGCAGCAGCAACCAGCTGTGATTCATCATGTGCTGCTCTGCTCCATGCTGTGCTTAGGTCAGCCAAGAGATTTATGCGACTATTTGATTTCAGGCCTTTCTGCAGCACCTGGGCTTTCTGCATTTGAGTCTACGCCCTGAGCTCACGTTGGATGAGCAAACAAACACACCATCTACCCAGACACCCACATGTTACTACTTTAATTGATCGATAAACAGGGGCAGGGGGGAATCTTGCTCTTTACTTCGAAAATGTGCATTTTTCAGCTCTTTCTGGCATTGTAGAGCAGGAGATTAATGAGGAAAACGGTGTGCAGATAATATGACGATGAAAAGAGCTGCAAGTGGAAGCCCTTATTTGCAACAAACACATGACAGAAAACCAAAGATTCACACTATGGCTTAATCTATTGATTGATCATTATTATCAACTAAGCTGCCAGTTTTGACTGTAATAACTCAATCGACATACAAAATATTAAAAAACTGAATAGCAAGCGCTTCACAATGTAAAACAACACAAGAAAACGCTTTTAAATACTAATTTTTGTCTCTTACATTTGAGATGGTAGCAACAGTTATTTCACATTATTGGTCCAGTTGCTAATTAATAGTCTTTAAAAAGACAAATTAAGTAAGTGTGGCAATAGTTTTATATATATATATATATATATATATATATATATATATATATATATATAGCAGAGCACCATTCTTACAGGTGAACTTACGGTGAACTGCATGTCCTTGTCTCTGCTGGAGGAGGACCTTGAAGTGAAAGGTCTAGTAGCTGGAAAAACAGAAAAAACACGAGGTCAACACAGAACAGAAGGGGGAAAGAAATGTTATGTCCACTATCTTATACCAAATCGGGCCCCCTTTTTTTCCTATTCCCAGAGTACCCTATCTTTTAGTCGTCATTTACGCTATTCTTATGCCTCCTTCTGCTTTGTTTTGTTTTTTTTGTTCTAAGTATCAGGATCTGGAATCAGAGAAAGTTTTGGCAGAATCTGCTGACATTTATGTGATTTTGGACTGCATTGTTTGGCTGCAGCGTCCCTATGTGAGGCAATAGCTTTGTCATGGCTCATTATATACCGCTGGCTAGTCGCTCCCTCTCTTTTTCCTCTCTCTCGCACTCATATATACACACAAATCAGCGATGAGTCACCATCATCGCACCATCACTCAGGCGCGCACACACACACACTAACAAAACAAAACAAAAAAAACCTGTTCAGTACTCACACATACACAAACACACACCTCCACAGTGCTGCAGTGTGCGCGCAGATACAATGCCTGCGTGCAAAATAAAAACATACAGTAGCTCACCCGTTAAACAGAAACAAAGCATACCGCTTTATACTAACAACAAAACAGGAAACGTGGACTTCACAGTTAGTGTTAAAACTGAGCGGAACATGACCACAAGATATTTTAAACCTCTGCCATTTACTTCCTATGTCACAAAATGATGAAGTAAGTAATTAATCTGTTCTATCTGACTAACTAAATCACACAGTTACACTGTCAGCAGGCCATATGACATAATCCATCTATTGAGTCCAATAAAAGTTCCTTAGTTATCAGCATTATGTAACGTTGGTTTGTTGCTACCAGAGTGTGACTACCTACCAACCAGCAGATACACAATGAGCAAATGCCCTCCAAATATTTGTAATGCAAAGTGCTTCTGAATATGTGCGTCTGCCTCTGCTTGCCTATACTGCCACCCAGTGGTTATTTTATAGTGCAAAGAGGGACGTGTACAGCTTGTGCAGTACACTGTGGATTATGTGTGAACATGATAAGAAATCCAGGAGGTGAAGGCAATGACAGTGACATCTTTTTCATGTTTACAGCGCTTGATTTCTCGTTGTGTCAGAGGGTTATTTGTTTCATCGAGTGGTTTGTAGTGTTTTTCTACCTCTGCCATGTGCCTGACCACTATTTACAAGTACAAAAGAGCCTGTTCTCCCACTGACGGTGCTGAAAATAAATGGTGTGGCCATAAAGAAAGCTGACATCTAAAGATATCTGATTGCTGACGTCATATTCCTCGACTGCGATTTTCCACTTGACTACAAGAATTTTGTCCCAATTAGCCACAGTATCTCCAAATAAATCCATACAGCTTAACACCATGTGGTTTGCAATATTTCAAACATGATTGTTTGAACATTAAATAGTAATGACTTCAGACTTTCATAGCTTACACTGTATTTTAACATCAGTGTTATTTAATGCGCACCTTCTGATAGTCACAAACTAAAGTTTAAAGTTTAAAGATGTAAAAAAAAAAAATGCTTTTGTTTAAGATTTCCATCATATGGAAATCAAGCAAGAAGAATATTGGAAGCTGAATTATTAATAACAGTTGAATTTGTTCCACGCCAAAGTCTTTAAGACATGTCTTTATGGGCCTCACGTATATTTTTTATGACCTTCACATGTAATAACCACCTTGCACAAGTCCTGACTTTATGTCTGTGTAACTGTTTAAATAAAACAAAGGCAGTGTGTTTGTGTGCTATAACCGTCTGTATTATCACAGACCTCTTCTGTAGAACTTACTGTTTTCTTGCTTTGGAGATGAGCTTCCTTCAGTGCTGTCTCTCCGCTTGTACTTCTCCTTCTCCCGCTCCTTCAGCCTGACCCTTTCCTTCAGTGGAATGTGGTGAAGTTTAGAATGGAAGTGATCTCTCCGGTGGACGTAAGCCCAGTGGCTCGTGTGGTGGTGCCGCTGGGTGCCAAAGCCGGCTTTGTGGAATGCATGGTCATCCCTTGTAAAACTGCATCATTTAGGGGGTTAAAAAAAGATGTCAGAGCAGACAAAATGATTCTCAGGCTAGGTATCAGTACTCCCAGTTCCCACCTAGGCATTCTTACCGAGGCTTGTGGAACCGCCCTGCAAACTTTGGTTTGTAAGAAGTGGACAACCATGCCCTCGGTCTGGATGGACTTCGCACTCTTCTGATCGCCCTCTTCTCATCCTGAATTGACAGGGGTTACCCAAGTCATCACAATCTGGTGTTTTACAAGAACAATCTATAAAGCTTTTTGGTTTTTGTTATTAAACACGATGTACCTTAGCCAGAGACACAGTGTTGTCGGTAGCCCTCTTGTCAGTGGAGTCATCACTGTGTTCCTTGTACCGCTGTGACACTGACCCCTGAAGACAGCATCACAGTTAATCACAGTTATAAGGGTGTTACATAAAAGTAGGACATGATTTTATAAGAGATGAATTAGTCTGGGAAATAATAAATTCCTAAATATTTGACATTTAAGCTTCTTATATTTGCAGCATTTTAACTAAAATTAAATCTATATACTAAAATGAGATTGACGTGACTAAATTTTCTAAGTGGACAAACAAGTTGATTATAATAATGATAATTATTATTATTAGTAACAAACGTACTTATGCCACTCCCTAAGAAGAAGTAATAGTAATGGATTAAGTATCTCCACGCGGAGCTTTAAACACAATGTCATCTATCCGGAACACTTTCGATTTCGTTTTTGGAGTTCTGAGATCAGGACAGGAAAACCTTGCTATACCACATTCAATCAAAAGCATAACATTTCACACATTTAAGGGGGGAAAAGACTCTTGTAGGTGAAATAAAATATTGACGCTTATTTGTATCACTGGCTTTCTGGAAAATTAACAAGATTTTAAATAGTGCCCCCTGTGCTTACAAACGAGTCTTCCTTCCTGTTATATTTGGAGTTTTTCAGATATCGCAGCAGTACTGCTTGTGTCATTTCCTGACATTTTGATTCCTTTATTCTTATTGGAAATGATTGGAAATAAAAAAAGGAAAGGTCAGTCGAGTCTACGACACTCAAAGCATGCGCACAAGAAGTGCATTTTGACAGCTTACAGTTTGTAACTCATAATTCCGAGGGGTTTTTGCACGTTTGTTTCTTTTACCTTGCTTTCCTGTGTGGTTTGGGGTCGTGCTTGATCCATTTCTGCCCCTCTGCAGAGTCTGGCTTATCTTTATGAATGACACGCGGACTTTTATTTCTCTTTGCGTCCAACAAACCAGGAAGCGGCGTCTGAGCTCTCAAATGAATCCCGAGTGTCCATATGTCAAGTGAACCTTTTGCATTTCCAGCTCTCGCACGCTGTAAGAGCTGGCCTGCAGCTGGTAAAAAGGGTTTAGCGTGCAGTTACTTATTTCACATTGTCCACAAATATCCTGCGTGCCTATAGTTAATCGTGCTCGGAAAAGCGCAACATGTTTTCACTTCCTTTTTGTAAAATGACCCAATCAGGTTGAGCCTACGGTCGCATAGGCTTATCAAAAACAGAAGAAAAAAAAAAAGAAAGAAAATCGGGCGTTTCTCCTGAAACCACGCAGGCGCAGTCCATGTATTATCTGCATGTGAACGACTCTGAACCCTTAGATTATCAGGATTTACAAACTGATAAATGATAAGATGTGGTCTGACACACACAAATAGTTGTAATGGGGGGGGAAAAAAAGTCAGTAACAGTAACCATTTCCTGCCTTACTGTTTTTAGGGGCTGTTAACATCTGTACTGACAACTTTTTCAAAGTAATGAAAATGAAATTTGATGTGTGGAATGAAGAAGTATAAGTAAAAGCTGCAGCTTTTCTCCGGTTTTGTGCAGTTCTACATGCACAAAGCTGGAAAAGGCTGCAGCTGCATTTCTAAAGACGCAGGTGTTCATAAGTCCACAAAAAGATAAACTGGCTACAAATGAAGGAACTTCGGGAATGTTGCTGCTCTACCTTTGTGTGGATATTCTGCAAAGATCACACTATGAAAAAAATAATCCTTGCAGTGCAGGTAGAGCCTATGCTGGGTGTCATAACGCAGGAGGCAGTATACACCCTCAACAAGTCACGAGTCCATCTGAGCAAACTGCTGAACTCTTTATTTAGTGGTCACCATACACAAATAAAGGAAACCACTCTGCTCGAAAAGAAAAAAATATACACCATTATCCCAATTTAGCAAAAGACCATCTGGATGATCTGCAACCCTTCTGGGAAAGTGTGGACAGAACGATGAGACAAAATTTTTTGGGCATATGCACAGTACTGTGTTTGGAGTAAAACAGAGACATGTTCACAGATCAGCACCTAACCCTTCTCCCAGCAGTGAAGCATGACTGAGGGAATATCATAGTTTGAGGCTGTTTTGCTACCTCAGAGCCCTTTGCATTCAGAGAGTGAACAAAGTATTCAAAATCAGCATAGCAGTTCACGACCTTAAGCTTAGCACAGACTGGGTAATGGGACAAGCATTTGAACTACAGAACACAAGTAGAATGCTTGAAATAAGCCAGCCAAGATATCCCAGAAATAGTTATAAACTGAAATGTAAGTGTCAGGGAAAATCTGATTGAGATTATTGCTGACGTTCTAAAAATTAGCCAACTAAATTTTACACGTCATATGTCAAACTTGCACTGGAAACTCCCTATCTACCTACCTACCTACTTACCTCCCTCCCTCCCTACCTACCTCACTACCTACCTATCTATCTGCCTGTAGATTTGTACTAAGAAGATTACGTTTAGAGGTTTACTAGAAGTGAGAACATTTTGTCTCTCAGGTACAAGGAATTTTATGATGTATTCAAAGAATCGCTGTGGTATACTGACATCCTTCCTCTGAAATTTAGTGTTCCTCTCTCCACCCACTGTCCCCACCCATCCTACTTCTTCCTGCCTGAAGAGAAAGAGGGACAGAGACGGACAGAGGGAACATAATTAAAAGCAGACACCTTTAAGATGCCTTGGAGAACTGTAGTATTTTACTCTTTTTCTTCAGCGGACCGTGGCGGACTTAAAACATTTATATGAGGCCCATTTACAAAGGTAAGCCTGAAAAAAAATACAAGACACTAAAGCTTCTGGGACTGTGTTTTGTGCTTCTGCTGTTGGGTGTTTGGGGTTGACAACTTGTTGGAGCAGGTTTTTCTTCTTGTCAGGTGAGTAATACTAATTGTTCAGTGTGAATGCTGGGCTGTGCTCGACACGCCAGCACGGCCTTTTGTCTTGTGGCAATCGGAAGAGACGCTTTTTGTACAAAACTAATAATTTCTGAAAAACCAAAACTGTTTCCTGGTGTCAGCTGTCTATCTTGCAAAGGTACAATTAGTTTTAGTGGATGAGGTGGGAGGAGAGGGGGAAACAAAAGGTAAACACAGTGTTGACCGCTTTCAGTTTTTAGTTTTTAACATTCTGTTCTTAATTTATCTTGTTTGATTTTCTTTCTTTTACAGGATCAAAACTAGAGTCATCTTAGTGATATTGACGCTCAACTTTTTTTTTTAAAGTGCGGGATTTCCTGAAAAGACATGAGGTAAGGATGTAAAGAGTGCTTATAGGATCATGAGAATATCAGCTGAGAGACTATACTTGATGATGTTGTACATTTTTCTAATCCAATACAAGACAAAAAAGAAAAACACTACATTCTACTCCTGTCTGTGACATTTCAAAGAATGTGTAAGTTGTGAATTTAAGTAAAGTAAAGTATGTTTACTGGGAGCATTTTCCTCACATGTTAATGTTTACAACAGCTGGTCAGCTGTTCTATCATGAATATAGGACAATGACAAAAAAAAGAGAAAGGTTAACTGTTAGTTACACAGTGATAAGTTATTTTTAGTTTTTCTTTAAAAAGTTGTCTTTTACAGGGTGCAAACTCTCCCAAGAGCGCAAATTTTGCAGGAGTTTAATTTGCAGTGCCAGGCATTGGCTGCTAATAGCTACAGAGGCTTTAAACAGGAGTTTGAGGTAACTCTTAAGTCTAAAGCTTGAAATGCAAACAGATTTATGATTGTGCTTTCATGCATGTTAATGTCTGTGGGTCCATGCAGGAGCTCAGTGAAGTTGGAAAAGATCTCCCCACCAGGGCTGGGGACTCTGAGGTCAACAGGGAAAAGAACAGATACCCATTCATTTTACCGTGTAAGTGCAATGCCTCTAACCTCTAAGATGCCTCTATGCCTCTAAGAATAACAAGAATGCGTAGCAACATTTCAAACTTTTGTCTGTTTTTCCACATCTGGTTGCAGATGATCACTGTCGGGTCAGGCTCTCTGTTCAAAACTCCTATCCACACACGGACTACATCAATGCAAACTTTGTGCCTGTAAGATCTCATTTACTTCCTCAACTTCAATCACTTCTTCCTACCTACATCTGTCTGCACCTGTTGTTAAATGTGTGCCTGCATTCAGGGTGGAGGATCAGAAAGAGACTTCATTTGCACCCAGGGTCCTTTGCCCAACACCATAGCTGACTTCTGGAGGATGGTGTGGGAGCAAAACGTCAGGATTGTTGTCATGGTGACAGCTCTGAAACACAAGGACATAGTGAGAGACGCTTACTCATTTTGTGTGTGTGTGTGTGTGTGTGTGTGTGTGTGTGTGTGTGTGTGTGTGTGTGTGTGTGTGTGAAGCTTGTTTTATTGTTACATTAGAACTTCAAAAACAAAAACAAACAAACAAACCATTTATTTATTCATTTCTTGAATAAATAAATAAATGGTATATAAAGACTAAAAAGATAAATTAATATGTAGGCAATTTATTTATTTATGACATTCAGTGTTGTATGCCAAATTATTTAATTAAAACAAAGTGAAAATAAACCATGTACAACTTAAAAATTAAATCGATTGTTTATCTATATAATTTTTTAATATGCTCAGACTTTTACCTATGTTGCAAAGAAGAATGACCCAAACTTACTTATAAATCTGTGCACTGTTTTAGCTAAAAGTACATTAAATATTCAGCAAATGGAAAAGTATGTGGACCACAGGATTAATGGCATTAGCGGCAGATAATATGACGTCCAGTCTATAATATAATTAGACTGATAGTTGGAGCTGATCAGTTAATGCAGGTAACCTGGTTATTCTAGAGGATTCACATTCACTTACATAGATAAAGATTGTTTAGAGGACATTTGCTCTAAACTTATCAATTCATTCTTTGTGTGCAGGTTTTCTGTGACAAGTACTGGCCACTGGACCCAGGGACAGTTTATCATGGACTCATCCAAGTCACAACAGTGACTCGCAAACAAGGGCCAGATTATTTTATCACCACCATTAACCTCCGGCATGTAAGTGAAAGACGCATGCATTATGCTCTGTGCCCTCTTTAACCTGCCGCAGCGTACTCCTGTGTGCATTGACCATACCTGTAATCCATCAAAGAGATAAACGCTTATGGTGTTTGTGTTTCAGAGAGACTGTCCAACAGACAGGATAATCACACACTATTACTACCCCTCCTGGCCTGACAGGGGAGTCCCTAAGAGCCCATCTACTCTCTGCGTCTTCACTGAGCATGTGCGGCAGCATTTGGAAACCATTCCTCGTCTGGGACCGGCTGTGGTGCACTGCAGGTGTGACCTCTAACAATGTCTTTGTCAGTATTGTTCTTGTCGTTTATAATGAATTATCAGTCGAATGGTGAATTGTTTTTGTGATTTCAGTGCAGGTATTGGCCGGACAGGAACATTTGTAACACTGCTCTGGCTGCAACAACTGTGTGCGAGGGGTATCCGGCCTGATATCAAGGCTGCTGTGCAGGACCTTCGTCTGCATCGAATGTGGATGGTCCAGACTCTGGTCAGTCCTTCTTTTCATATTTTATAAACTGATCAGATGTTCTGTCTTTTAGGTCTTGATCTGAAAATGAAAGCTACGCCAGATTAAATTGATTAATGTCTGGTTAAAATATAAAGTACAAGTAAAGTGGAAATACTTAAGTACAAGTACAGCCAAACTGCAGCTAAACGAAGTACTTTCTGTACGCCCCAAGTCTGCTCACCCGTACAAGGTCATCAAACATAAGAAATCTAATATCATAGATTATTAATATTAAATTAATCTTGATATGTAATGAGGCATTGCAAGTACTAAAATACATACTTGTATTCATTACTAATCTGCATATTTTGCGCACTTTTGAGTCATGCCAAATATAAGGATGAGCATCCACATAATTTTCCCATTGTCCTGTGTCTATTCAGGAGCAGTACGTGTTTGTTCATCAGTGTCTGTTACACTGGCTCAGTGGAGGAACCTCAGCATGGTGAGCATGGTGGAAGTGTATCATTTATCTCTGTATTGTATTGCGACTTCTAAGTGGGAACTTGTTGTTTATAGGAGCTCACAGATCCAGAGAGCCAGTTTAAATGCCAACAACGACATCCAGGATCGGCCTAAGAGCTCCTCAGCACGGAGAGCGCGATCGGGGAGGAGCCACCGTCACCAACCCCGACAGAAACCTGCAGCTGACCCACCACAGAACACAATGCAGCAGATTTTAAACCCGGGCAACCTACTGAGGCGATTACTTCCTTCCTCTTCACTGTTCAATCCAGCCACACACTTCAACTGAACAGGCATGCTGGAAGATGTATATATGTAAAGAAAGACTACATAAATAATTTTGCCATCATACATCAGCTCACAGAAGGACGTGTATACTGTATGCGGTCGGGCCCTGCAGGCAGAAAACTGGCCTGACAACATGGAGATAAAAGAGCAGCTTCTATCGTCATTAGAAGAGAATGAATTCAAGGAAGAAGAAATCAGGTCAAACCTGTTACCCTACTTATCCTGGCAAAAAAATATTGAGGCTGGTACCTGTATATACTGGCACATACTACAAGTTACTGACAAAATATTTAATGTTAGCACAGCATGTCTTTCTATCTCATTTTTAAAGTTTTTATTTTTATTGTGACTACTGATAAAGTGCCATTGTAAGATGACTTTTATTCAGCTCTTTGTTTTTTCTGAAAAATTATTGTGCATCATCTTATAATCACACAATGCAGGCTATCGGTACTTAAAGACGCATGTGCAGACTTCATACTGGACTGGCTAGAAAGGCAGACACATGGTATAGTGGCTGTACAAAAAGGTCATGTTTCAAAAAACACACAGGCACTGCCATTCTCCTTAGATGAACCTATTACAGTACATGAAGGAGGCATGAGTTTTGTACATTATAGAACATTAACGGCTAACCCACTCTTTTAGAGTCTTTCACCTCTCCTGTAATAGACATGTATAATACAACAGATGCCTCATCAGGTGAATTTTGGGAAGAAAAGAAGGTCCAGCAGCAGTCAGCATCCAAAGCCGCACCTCCAACGTGTAGCAAATGCGAGCAGAGCAGTGACGCATTGTTGCAATCAAAACGGGAGCAGATTAAAGTCCTCCTATTTGATGCTGCTGAGCGAGTCCGACAGGTGGTGCTGCGGTTTAAGCAAACAATGTAAGTCACCTCCCAATTCAGAGTGTGTGCATTAAAACTCAGTTCCAGACAGGCAAGAGTAAAACACAAAGAACTCCCACAACTTGAAAATGAGCTCTTAGCCTACGTTTGGCTACTTAATGCAGTTTTAATACCACTGAGGTATTCACTGTGACACTTAACAGTGACCAAGGCAAAAGAGGAAAACTAAAGCAACAAAAAAAGAGATGTCTAAGAAAAGCAGCATAGCGCAGGCCAACCCCAGTGAAAATATATATATGAAATATATTACAGGTTAAAACAAAACAGGAAAGAAAATTATTATTAAGCTGTTCCAGACTGTTGGTAAAGAGAACCAACAGTTAAAAATAACACTTAAATTAGAGTTCAGGTCCAATAAAAAGATTAGATACTAAATCCTTTGGCCAAAACAAAAAAAAATGATTGCCTCAGTAAGACAAACAATCTATTGGTTGTATGTGTATTTACAGTCCGTATGTGTGAGATATGCTGACACATAATGAAAATAAACATATACAATACATGCCACCCTTAAAGACCACAGGAGGGTGTGAGAGTATACAAAACTACTCATAAAGAGCAATCAAAGGCTTGGTGAAGAAAGAAGAGCTGAGTTCGTTTTTCATTCTCCTTCAGTCCAACTAGTGCACGTTCTCGGACATGTTAATGGCTTCCTGGATTTCACGAACAACAAGGATGCGGGCGAGCATCTGCTCCAGCTGTTCTTTTGGGATTGGCTGAGTTGAGTACCAGATGGGGCTATTTGGAGCCACCACGGGCTCAGGTGTCAGGTAGAAGGTGTCATTGCGACCTTTAGCACTCTGTGGACTGAAAGAGACAAAGAGGACATGGTGAGGACATTTTCAGGAAACGCTTCATATAACAAATCAAAGTTTAGTTTTATTCCCCCCCTTACAAAAAAAAAAAACTGCATACAATTCTTTTCTGTGTGGGAACAGAGGCAAAAGGTTTAGAGGTGAGGATTGCTTTCACAACAGATTTTTACCTTTTAAAAGGACAGCAGGTAAGATTCAACTTGTCCAGAGTACCTTATATGCTCAAAACAGTACACAACAATGTCCACAATCTTAAATTTAGTAATATGTCAAATAAATTAAATAAGCTAAATTAACCAAGTGTAACACACTGTGTCACAATCAGAGCAGTGGAGAGGCACAGGTGTACTCTCGCTTCTCTGGTAAACCTTAAGAGGAACCAGAACGTCAGTAGCTCATCTAGCTCATGATCTGATCACAATTCTCCTGAATATGTGAAGTACAGAAAGAAAAATAAGTTTTGTTGTCATTGGTTGGCTGTACTGCATGGACTAATAACGATTAAAAGCCCAGAGTAGTCACCTCTGGCAAATGTACATTAAATACAAAAAAATCCCCTGGAGTTTATGCTCGGTGTGGGGTCAGTTTGAAATCCAGGCATTAATCTTGTGAATTACGGTACACATACTGATTACAGAGCACAGTTTGGGATCATACAACTGCAAATTTTGAAAGTCCATAAATACAAAAAAGACAATATCCATACAGCCCCTTGAATCTGAGAATTTTCACCATTTCCTGAAATAAAAAGGTACCAAAGTCACATATTAATGTGATATTAATAACATAACATTTGTTAACAATGTAGTGCCACTGCAATGTAATGCCAACGAAAGCCAAACATTTGTAGCTTTTGTCACTGGTAATGCTCAAAAGTAGGAAACAAAGAATTAGTCACCTTTTGGAGAGAAGAGCAAGGGAAAAGTTATATAGCATATATATATATTTTGTCAGTTGCCTAGCAACAGTGTTCTCACACCTTTAAGAACCTCAGCACAAACTGCTCTATATACTCCGCTTCCCATATGATTAACAGAAATGCAGTTTTATTTAAAGGAGGCAACCACTAACCATGGCCAGAGTGAAAAAGCATGAAAAGCACCACATTGTTTAAAATGTATTTACTTTTTACTGGTTGCATAGATTATCTCTTTGAGGTAACATTTTACACTTCTTAATATCTCATTCACCGATTCCCTTCAGTGTCCTTCATAGTGTTTTGTATTTACCATTTGAAGAGGTAGAAATCATAGAGTTTGATGGGGCACCGCAGTGGGTTCTCAGGGTCCTCAAGCTGCTCTGAGTACATATCATCTGTCACTGAAAAAAAAGTGTTCATACAGTCTCCATTAGTTTGTCCTTAGAATCAAGGTTTCCTGTGAAATGCAGCACAAATGCAATCCCAGCATGCTCTTACCTTTCTGCCCTATGAACCTTTCTGTCGACTTTAGGTATCTAATGCTGGTGCTCTTATCTTTAGGATTGTTGGGACTCTTCCGGGTGTGCCTGAGCACCTTTGAAAAGGCGACTTTTAGATGCTGATCCACTGTTTTCAGGTGGAAATACCTGTAGAAACAGAAAAAAAAAGGAATTGCAAGCAACCATGAAGCCAGTACAGGAGGGTGCAGAATCTCGTTTAGTATTTTGTAGCTCTGTGGGTTAAGAGTTATTTGTGCTGTAGATGAAGAGTATCTCTTATTTACAGGGGTTTATCATGCCCACTTAAGCATGAGACAACCACATAAAGTTACTCCAGTAAGCATTACACTTCAGAGCACCTAATTTGGTACTCACTTGGTATTGAAGAACATTAAAGTTGTTAGCAGTGTCGAGGGAGAATGAGCTCCTAGTTGTTTACATTCCCACAACATCTCCTCTGTCACATGACTGGGAATAACATAACCTGTCAGGAGAGGGCAAAGAACAACACATTAGAGCAGCGGTCCCCAACCTTTTTTGCGCCACGGACCGGTTTATGTCCGACAATATTTTCACGGACCGGCCTTTAAGGTGTCGCGGATAAATACAACAAAATAAAACTAGTACCGGTGCCAAAAAAAATAAGATTTATTCATAACACACGTGAAAAGACCCAGGAAAACCGAGTTAATGATAAAAACGATAACAAAATAACGCTGAAAACCGATAAAAACCCTGAAAACCATACATTTCACACCTGAGCCTCAACTCTCGCGGCCCGGTACCAAACGACTCACGGACCGGTACCGGTCCGAGGCCCGGGGGTTGGGGACCGCTGCATTAGAGGACCTGTGTGGTCTCTTTAAAAATATTTTTTTAAAAACAAAAAAGGTGCTTTATAACCACCACGAACAAAACTTTATGGTAACTGCAATTAGAAAGTTTATAGATCTAAGAAACAAACCCCAGATCAACAGTTGAAAGAAACTAAATGTATTAGGTAGGGCTGCTCGATTATGGCAAAAATGATAATCACGATTATTTTCACTGAAATTGAGATCTCGATTATTTGACGATATTTATTTAACCCTTTAAGACCTACCATAGAACCAAGTCCGCCAGAGCTTATATTATTTTTTTACATGTTGTAGTGCCATTTGTGGGAGCATTTCAAGTTGCTATACATCAATACAACTGTTATAGCCCATATTTTAATAATATGTATGCATTAAGTCCATAGTAACTACATTAATTGCAAAAAAGTGCAATAAACTACAAAAAAATTGAAAATCGTTTTTGTTTTTTTTTACATATATTTCTACTTGGAGAAATTTAAGAGGTTTATCCCTCAAAACTTTAAATACAAAAAAGTTGCAAAAAATAGTTTACAACAACAGGAAATTTATTTTGAGTGTCTTCATAGTTTTATTTTGGAGATACACCAATTTTTATATACTGCAGGAAAAACAAAAAAAACAATCCTATGATGCAAATTTGCAAAGAAAACAGCAGGTGCATCAAAATAAACTATTTCCAGCAGTGCAATTCGAGTTCTAAGCATCCCAGAAACTATTCAGAAAAGTCAAACATGACTTATAAAAACACCAGTATAGGCTTTTAAGGCCTACAAGTAAAAAACTACATTTTCCGCGAAAATGACGTCACTTCCGGTTTCGGGCAGGAAATGCGACAGTTCACGTTGACGTCTTTTTCAATGTGGGAAGTGTTAAGAACAGCTGATCAGATCGGCAAAGTGTTTCTGGAATATTATGTTTTTGTTCCTGCAAGTGCTTTTTATGCAATTTTTGCAAAGCTTTATGTGGAAGGAAACCGTGACCGAGGACAAGCTGATGGCATAAGATGTAAGTACAACTCCTCCGGTTTCATATGCAAAAAAAAATTATTGCGCTAGCTTACACGGTTCAGGTTCTACAGGGATTTAAAAATAGTTACACAAAACAGAGCGTGCTGCTCTGACCGGCTTTAAAGGGTTAACAATAACAATGTATTGAATAATGACTTTAAAAAATAATATAAAATAGTGTGCAAATACTGACAACAGTGCAAATGTTTGCAATATAAGAAATAAATGAAAAATGTAAACATCTATGTTTAGTGAACTTTGCAGTGTTGCTCTGTGGTGCAGCTACTACACCATAGCAAAGTTTACACACTGTGTCTACTTGATCCACGTCTGACTCCGCGAACCCATAATGTTTCCAACCACTGAAGTTTT